AGTGTATATCGCAAGAAGACGTTTACTGGTCTTCTTACTAATTATTTCAGCTTCGCCCCTTTGATTTACAAATTAGGTTTAGTCAGAACGTTGATTGACAGAGCATATAAGATCAATAATTCCTGGGTTGGTTTTCATCTGGATGTCAAGAAACTTATTTTCTTGCTACGGAAAAATTGTTTTCCATCTTGGGTCATAGACAAGATCATTTACAGGTATCTAGCGAAGAAAAATAATCCTTCTCCTACTGGGCAGAACGCCTCTTCTAACTCCGGTAAACCTTCTGCGCACTATTATAAACTTCCCTATGTTGGTCGGTTTTCGAACATCGCTCAGACTAAGTTAAGACAACTACTCAAACGTTATTGTAGAGCTGATTTAGATGTTAAGTTAGTCTTCAGTACGTTTAAACTCAGAAACATGTTCAGTGTGAAAGATTCAGTACCGCTAGGTCTACGTTCGCGTGTCATATATAAATTTTCATGTGCTGGCTGTAATGTCAGTTATATTGGTGAGACCACTCGCCACATTTGTACACGAGTTCGTGAGCACCTCTTGTCGGACAAAACTTCGCATATTTACAAGCACCTGCAATCATCAAGGGCTTGTCTTGACTCTTGTGATACTGAATGTTTCACGATCTTAGATTCTGCCGCTTCAAAATACCAAATTAAGATCAAAGAGGCATTGCATATTAAGTGGGAAAAACCTATCCTTAATCAGCAATTAAAACATCTAGAATTGTCTCTTTCCTTTTAATTATGTTGTTCCTTGGTCTTTTAATTTATTTTTATTATTTATTTATTTAATTCTTTTTTGATCTAGTCAAGCGCGCGCTATTTACATTTTTCGCGTTTTTAACATTCAAATGTAACGTAAGCCCTGACACGTAGTTTGTAACGTACCTTAATATAAATTCAAATGTACAACAGTTAAATGCTCATTTGCAACTGAAGATGACATGAGAATGTCGAAACATGTCTTGTAAAGTTAAACTCAAAGTTGTTGTTTCTTTTTTAATAGAAAAGTTCCTAAAATTTAGCGATAAGACTCACCGCAAATTACATTGCTACACCTTTGGGACTCGAGCTGCTTACGCCCCAGCGAATTTCGATACCAAATGAAAAATTTACTATGAGTCATGAAGTTCTTTTCGTTCTTGTATGACAAGGATCCTTTGAGAGACTTCAAGTATGAATTGGCTTGTTCTGCTGCCTGACTGTTGAAGGTGTCCCGGTGAGGATAACGGGAGAGGTTGTAAGCGAGTGGTGGCTGCTGCAACTGATTCAGTAGACTCTCGAGTTTTTCTCTCAGCAAAGAAATCGACCAGAAAATCAGGCATTTTGTGTTTCCTCAGATTCTGCTACTTTTGTTACATGTTCACAGTTGCGACGCTAGTGATCGCAGATAAAGCAAGTGATAACTGCACCCTGGAGGCCAACTACTCCATGCTGTTTATTTCCATGTACAAAAATGGTAAAATTATTCCCATTCAAAGGCAATAAGTCATAATGTTCCTCCTGAGATAGAAAAACAGCAAGAACAAAAAGTAAGCAGACTGTGGAAATGCTTCCCTCATTACAGATAGTCTTTACTTAATAACACATAGAAATGGAAAAATATGATGTTTACAGTTACTTACAGCAAATGATGCACTTGTCATTTCTCCAAGAATATAATAATTAACTAAGATTCATAAATAGCTGTACTCTGAAGGGGGCCTAGCTGTTTACATACACAAACTATGCTCTAACATTATTTAACTTAAACCAAAATCATTAGGATGAGTGAAAAATAACCAGAAAAATGTTGACAAAAGCAAGATTACTGTTAGTAATAATTCCTAAATTTTAATGTTCTAAAGTAAAAAATTCATTCATCTTACTTGGTAAGTCTGATCGTGAGAATATGCATCTCTAGCAAGTGAAGGGGGGACATTGTTTTCCCTGTCAAAGCTTTCCATCAACTTTTCAGGGGCTTCAATATGGATGCAATTCTCATAAACAGAACTAGTGGCAGTTAAACCTGTGAGAAATATTTAATAAACAATACTTATTATTAGAATTAATTTATCACTCAATTGAATACTGAAATGCAAAGAAGAACATTATGACAAAGGGGCATGGGGACACAGTCAAAGTCACAGGGGTCAGATTCAAAACAAAATAGCTAAATGAAGACAGCTTATAATACTGCTACTAGTTGTTGGGGCCTTTCATTTCACACCTCAGGTTAGAATTCAATAGAATACACATTTGACTAGCACACTACGGCACTTAATGGAGGCTGGAGAAATAATTGGCAACAATAAAAAAGAGAAGCTGCAAGGAAGAGGATGGGAACTGCAGTTGCCTCCTAATGTATAAACAGAAATGAATGGCACTTAATGAATGTGCACATGAGATACAGTTATTGTCTACATTAAAACTGTGACTTGGATGAACAATAAAACTGCAGCATTTTCTTAAATTATTTCTATGAGTTTATATCCTTGTGCTTACTATATTCTGTGACTGTTGATGGCAGTGACTGCAAATAATCTGTTTGCCTTGTGCCTTCAACACATTTGCAATGATAGATCCAAATGTTATCCCTGGGTTCTCTTTCAACAATCACATATTTGGCTTCCTGATGGTAGAGGATAAAAAATATGCCATAAGGTAAACGATTGATTTTGTTTGGCATAAGCACAAGTACCACATTACATCTAGTTATGAGTAATTTACATAGCTACTGTGCTAACCAATAAAAAGACTGACATTTTGGATGCACCCCTAGGGTACAAACCACAAACAATTTGTGCCTAGTCACAGAATGTTTAACATCCTGTGTACAAGATGCTCTAGAACATGTACAAGATGCTCTAGAAACTACAGTACAGAGAACCAAAAATATAAATAAATATTAAACATTAGATATAAAATAATAAGCAAAATCAAAAATAATTATGAATACCAAAGGTCTACAATTAGGATATTTCATATTGCATGTATACATTGATGTATTAATGCTACCCAGGTTTGAGTCTTGTTTAGGTGGAAAGGTTTACTTACAAGTAGTACATGGATTGTGGTCTCTGCTTTTTGTACTACTGTAACAGTACTACCAGTCCAAAAAAAGATCAACACTATTGTTACAAAATTAACTTATAACCAATGATCAGCTTGCCTGCCAAGATTTGGGAATAGTAATGATGAGTGCCTCTCCCTAGGCCTTATCCTTAACATTTATGAGAAATATATATCCCAAGCACTTACAAGCAATTTCTTTGTAACTGTATCAAAATCGGGAAAAGTGAACAAAGAAATCTTGCTGCCAATGACGGTAAAAGCATTGCCATTCAACAGCTCTAACATGTACACAAACTCTGAGGTAACAGGCATGGATCAGTGAATGAAGCAGAATGTAATTCCCCATCTGCTATGATTTCATCATCAAAAACATCCTAGAAATAAATAATAACACTGTAAATATTTAAACTGCTCTACAATTTACACTCCTATATATAGTAAGAGATCTGTTTATAATTAAAAAATGCATGTAAAGTCATTGTTAGAAAAGGAGGTGTTAATTATCTAAGCTTCAGCCTAATGTGAAAGAAATAATAAGGAATAACAAAAATACCACTTTCACTGTGATTCATCACAACTCATGAAAAAAACAGTTTTCTTTATATCTGTGAAATAAAAAAATAAAAAATAAAAAATAAAAAAAAAACAGTCTGCCGAATGAGAAATATCTTGGTTGCTACAGACATCAGTTTTCAATGAATCTTTTTAACATGGCAACTTCCCATGACTCAAAATGCATGTAAATGAGTGGCCAGGTATTCTGCAATCTAGCCCTCAAAATAAAATTCCATGATTTCATTCTTGATCTTTTCCTGACATGTGGTACACCCGAATATAATTTATAGAGTACACGCTAAAAGAACTTAAGCTTAAAACGACGGTACAAAAAACAGAATCGAATTTTTTTGTAACAGATGCAAAATTAAGACTCACCAGCAAATCATCTAAAATTGGTCTAGGTTGCAACGCCTGCTGAGGATTTTCGAAAATTATCATCTTGACCAGTCGAGGTGGTGACTGTAGTACTTAAATCAGATGTCTTCTTTGATCTCTTACGTCTAATCTTCTTCGGCACAAACTGGTAAGAATTGCACCGGTCTCTTCTTTTATTCCTCTCGCCTAATTCATTTTCGTGAACGGCGAAAGGAGATGTTATCTTTATCCGCCATATTGTGGAGTGCTGCTCCATCGTTGTGTATGTGTCATGAAGTGTACCAGGAGCTGATGGTTTTAACCAAAATATTCGTGGTTACGATGACCCAACGCTACAATACGTCAGAGGACATATCTGCCATTTTGAAAACCGAGAAGGCCTTGGGTATGGAGATGCTGTGGTAGGCAACTTAGCTAATGCGTACGGTCGGTATCATAAGCGTTTTACATCGCTATCAACGCTCCTAAACACCAAATGTCGGGAGAAGGAAAACTTGGGCCTTGCATGCAGTGCGTTCGTTGCATGTTGTTCGTCTTCAATGGTCTGTTCTGGGTAGGTAAAGCGTAGTTGTAGGCTAGGTAAATTTAAAATATAAACGCCATTCAAATTAAGTTCAGATCCAAACCGGACCGGCACTGATAAGAAGATTGTGCATTAGTTGTTTCAGACTGACATCTTGCGTAAACCTTTGGATCGAAAGGTGGCCGTAAAGCTGTAAAAGGCTCATCCACAACTTAAAAGATAAGCCTAATAGGAGCGGACAGAAAAGTTTAGATAGGTTGGCTTTTTTTGGATCCGAATCTGGTATTTTGATATGTGCACAGCGCAAGTAGAATAATGAAGAACTTGTACTCTCTAGTGGAGAAACACGGTGTCACAGTCGTGTTGCATGTGACGTTAACAGTAGTTCTGGTGCAATATAGTGACTATAGAGTAAGAATGGCCAAAATATGGCACAAAAATATAGTTTTTGGAAGGACTCAGTTCTTTAAATGAACATATCTTACCAAAAAAGAATCGTGTGTTGCAAGTGCTGCTAAATTTTGATAGAAAAATTGGCCATCAGTACATGTTAGTAGGTCTACCTCTGCGTTTGGAAGTTATATTTATAACATTTTTTTTGAACTTGAAATGATCATCTCACATTCAACAATGTTCTTGTTCAAGCGGTAGCCTGGCAGTCGAGATTGCAGATCATCTACCAGTTTTTACTATTTTGTATGACCCAAAATTTAGTCCATTTCCTGATTATTTTTAATTCAGAGACTTTCGGGATTTTAAAAGAGAAAATTTCAAATTCGATCTACAAAGAGAGAACTGGGATTCTATTTACAAATGTAATGAAGTAAATGATAGCTATACCAGGTTCCTCCACATTTTCAACAAAGTACATGCACCGCTTAAAAAAGTGAAGATTAAACACAAAGCATATAAACCATGGATTACTTCTGGTTTAAAGAAGTTCATGAAAATTAGAGATGAATTATACAAAAAATGGCTTATTACTCGAAAATATGTCTTCCTAAACAAGTATAAATTATATGGCAACAAAATTGCTACCATTAACAAGATATACTGAGACTGCTTTTATAATGACATTTTAACCAAATCAGACAATACGAAAGATGTGGGACAATATAAATTTATTAATAAGTAAGAAACGGCTAAGTTCTCATATAGAAAAACTACCAGTGGATAATTAACAGTTATTCCAAGAGCACACATTGGATATGAGATGATAGCCAATGAGGCGCGTAGTGCTGAGTTGGCTATAATCATTTCATATCTAACAAGCACGAGTGGAATAATTGATTTATTAAAAAAAGCGCTCCCAAGAAATTAGGCAAATCTTCTCGACTTTATTTTGTAAGAAGAAACCGGAAGTTACATTGTACAGATAAAAGATTATGGTATATTGGCTCATGGTATATTATGGTATATTATGGTATATTGGCTAAGCCAATAAAAAGTCTTGAATTGCATTATCCAATGATTCAGTTCTTAATAATAAACAATACGAACAACCTTTAACTATTTCCAACTGTCTCAACAATTTTTTCTGCAATGTCCCTTCCAAATTAGCATCCCAACTACCTAAATCTACTAAGAGTGCAACCTCTTGTCTTCTCAGAAACAAACCAATTTTGCTTCTCACAAATCTCTGAATTAGAGATATTTTTACTACTAAAAAGTCTTGATATGAAAAAGTCATTCAGTTGTGACAAGATTCATCCATTTTTATTAAAAGCCACAGACATTGTTAATCTTTTTATTAACCAAGGTATATTTCCTGACAGTAAGGAACTTGCAAAAGTTGTTCCTATTTTTAAGCAAGGCTCTCGCGCTATATGTAATAATTATCGACTTATCTCAGTTCTATCTCCCATAAGTAAAATATTTGAGAAATGTATTTTTAATCAGCTCGTGTCCTATTTTATGACAAAAAAGATGATTTCCCCAAAACAATATGGCTTTAGACCAGGTTTCACAACCTCTGACTGTCGAATTGATCAAGATTATTAAAGAAATAACCTCTTCTCTTGATCAAGGTCATTATGTGGTTTCTTTATTCCTGGACTTGAGTAAAGTTTTTGAGACAGTAAACCATCAAATATTATTAAACAAACTCAAGTTCTATGGTCTACAACAAAGTGAACACAATTGGTTTCAATCTTACTTAAAGTGCCTATAACCCCCCAAAATTTTTTTGACCATATTAAATCTCTCTATTGCACTGAGCAAAATGCCACAAAAATTTTTGTGTTTAGTTAAAACCCCGATTTTTTATGAATTTTCAAAGTCGTGGAAAATCGCATTTTTTCAAAACACGACCGAGGCACGGAATTATCAAGATGGGTCTGGGTCGAGCACAGTTTGTGACGTCATTCCAGGCTTTCCAATGAGTTTGCTTCAAGGACTGGATGAAGTATCTTGACGGATATGCCTGATAAGTGCGTTGTTTTCGGGTGTAGCAACACTCCCAACAAAGAAAAAAGAATAGCACTTCATCCAATACCTTTTTATGGTGCAGATGACCCGGAGAAAAAAAAGAGAAGAAAGAAGTGGGTTGACTTTGTGCAATTGAAGTGTGCACATTGGAAGCCCACAAAATACTCTGCCATGTGTTCCAACCACTTCCAAGAAGAAGATTATTCAGTCATGTTTTCTGGTCTGACTAGCAAGACTGTGATGCAACGAAGGTTGCGAAAAGATGGAGTTGGAATTTACATCTTTCCGACTTATCACGTGTGGAATCAGTCGGAGGAAACGAAATCAGCTGAAAGCGAGCGAAGTAAGAGAAAGGTGAGAAAAATTTACCAGATCAGGCTTTAACGAAGGTTTCATCTCGTTGGGAACGTATAATATTGACTGAGATTGGATTGGAGCCCCGCTGCCGATGGCCTGGAATGATGTCACTGGCCCCAGTCTCTGGTTCACTTGGTCGTTCGAAAACTAAACTTCACTTTGAAAAATCATAACCAAACACAAAAATTTTTGCAGCATTTTGCTCAGTGCAATAGAGATATTTAATATGGCCAAAAAACTTTTTTGGGGTTATAGGTACTTTAAGTAACAGGAAACAACAAGTGTATGTAAATGGTGTTGCTTCTGATTCATATTTTATCTCTACTGGTGTGCCTCAAGGATCGATTCTAGGGCCTTTGCTGTTTATAATTTTTATCAATGACCTTCCAAAGAGCTCTACCTTTTTCTCTACTCGATTATATGCAGATGACACATCTTTAACAGCTTCCAGAACTGATCTTTATAGATTGTGTGAAATCAACAATCACTTGCCAACCATTTACGAATGGTTATGTAGCAATAAGTTGACCTTAAATTTGGTAAAAAACAAAGTATGTTATTTTTATGCCTTGTCAAAAGGAAAGTTACAATCTATATCCACCATTAACTGTAGCAAATGTTTATTTAGAGAAATCATACTGTGTTAAATATCTTTGTGTGTATATTGATTGTAACCTTACCCGGCATGACCACATTGACTACATACTGTATGTGGCAAAATCAGCAAAAATGTCAATATAACGGTTAATCACTTGTTAATTACACTTGTTAGTCTGTATTACTCTCTTATATATCCTTACCTTACTTATACATGTACTCTATGGGGAAATAATTATAATGCTCCACTGTCTCAAATCATAAAATTACAAAACAAAGCAGTTCATGTTATAAATGATGTCCCTTTAATGGAACCAGTAACTCCGCACTACGTATCCTTGCACCTTTTGAAATTTCCTGACATTGTTAAACTGAATACATGTATGCTCTTTTATGATTATTTCCACCATGGGAAGTTTCCTAATATGCCTGTTTCACTAGTATCTGGGCTACACAATTATAATATCCACAGCGCATCATCCAATCAAATCTTCATACCTTCTTTTCGAACTAATCTTAGGAGATTTTGTCCCAGCATTATTGGATGTTTCTTTTGGAATAATATACTGCAATCCATCAGGAACAAACCATCTAAAAAAATATTTAGAAAAGCACTTTTGCGCTGGTACCTTGCTCAATACTAGTGAAACATTATCTTCCTCATAATTTAACAAAATATTTTCCTTTACTTTTCTTTTTAATAAAACTCAAGTCTTAAGGGGCACAATATTAGTTTATATAGAAGTGCCCCTCTCCTCTCCCTCCATTTTCTTCTTCCATTTGAAATGATTTAAGTGTTGTAATGTAATATTTAGGGATCGGAGGAATAAATAAACTAAAAAAAAATAAAAATAACAATGTTCAAAATCAAACTATTGATCTTCAAAACTGAAAGCTGCAAGGTCATCCGGGAAAGCACATCTGCACTGAATACAGATGTACCATAAAATTATTTCATTTCCTTGGCTTTCAAAGGCTGGATTGGGTTCTCAACATTGTTGCCTGTGAAGCAGAACCATACAGAAACAGTCAAACACCAGAACAAAACACTGGGACTTTGAACATTTCCTTGAGGCCACTCATTGTCATTTGTAGTGAAACTTCAACTTTTGGAAAAGTGTGAGCTGCTTGAGAAAGAAATTCAAATAATTTACCCCTCAGATGATGATGGAGTAGTTGAAATTAAGCAGCCTAATTAACAAAGAAACAAAATCGTGTGGCAGCTTTTGCATTGTCTTAATGTGAAATAGGATAATTTTTTCCTTCCAAAACTAGCTCCTAATTTTTAACATAACCTGTTCAGCTTACAGGAGGTGGCATGCTTGTTGTGGGTATTTGGGCTCGCGTTCAGTTCAGTGATTACATGAAGTTGTCAAGTCATGATTACTCCACAGCATGCTATGTACTGATTGGTGCTGGAGCCCTTGTCATAATTATTGGTTTCCTTGGTTGTTGTGGAGCCTATAGAGAGCAAGTATGCATGTTGAAAACAGTAAGTACTCCATGATTGACAAGTTTCCTGTCGAATTATTACTGAAACCTGTAAAGGCTGATAGTTTCGAGAGAAACTGTTTGGGGCTGCGTCGATGGGAGTAACGAAATAATTTGGATATATCAACAAAGTTGAAGTGGTAAATTGGCCACTGTAACGATTACAAAAGCTGACGTTTCGAGCGTTAGCCCTTCGTCGGAGCGAATAGAGGAATTGTGGGTTGTGTGTGCTTTTAAAGGCAGAGAATGGAGCTATGTTATTGGTGGGAACATGGCAACGAGAAAAACAAGAATAAATTAGTGAAATGAAAAGCGTTCGTTGATCCCTGTGGGATTTAGACTGCCAGTTTGGAAGATGAGTTTTAGTTCAAGATTTTTACGGCTTTCCATGCTACCTAAGTGTAAAGAAAGACCGCAGATTGCCATATGTTGCTTAGAAAACATATGGTGGTCTTTCCTTACACTTAGGTAGCACGGAAAACATATGGAGGTCTTTCCTTACACTTAGGTAGCATGGAAAGCCGTAAAAATCTTGAACTAAAACTCATCTTCCAAACTGGCAGTCTAAATCCCACAGGGATCAACGAACGCTTTTCATTTCACTAATTTATTCTTGTTTTTCTCGTTGCCATGTTCCCACCAATAACATAGCTCCATTCTCTGCCTTTAAAAGCACACACAACCCACAATTCCTCTATTCGCTCCGACGAAGAGCTAACACTCGAAACATCAGCTTTTGCAATCGTTGCGGTGGCCAATTTACCACTTAAACTTTGTTGATATATCCAAATTATTTTATTACTGAAACCACACTGCTATGATCAGTTAAGGAAAATTCCCTGGAGAAACATTGTTGGTCTGAGGACTGAGTTATTCCTTGGCAACAATGTACTTTAAATGTTATTCATCTCTTACTGGATTATACCAAGGCCCAAAATTTGTAATAAAACCACACCCACATTTAATGAGTAGCATTACATATGGATTGTATTTCTTTGATTTAACACCTTAATTATTGAAAAGGAATAAATGTAGGCTTTCAAATGCATTTAGAACATTCATGTTTTGTACTTTGATGGTTATACTCACCCTAAACTATGAAACCTCCATAGATGATGAATTTTATGGGGTTAAAAGAAAGGGTGGTGTGGCTAAATAGAGCTGGGGAATCACTAGGTATTCAAAGGTTAGAAGGCTATAATTCAAGGGAAGGGCTTAATAAATAGAGGTTTTTTCAGTAGCATTTCATGTTAAATAATGCTTACTGCTCTTGGTTTTTCTACATGAATTTTGATGATTTTGTGCATGTTATTTGTGTGCAATGTTTCTTTAATTCTTGAAAATTATGAGTACTTGCTTTAAAGAAAATTAGTGTTAGTTCAAGTGTATAGCTGGTGGGTGTGAGATTGAATGAAACAAGTTTGATGGGGGAAGTTAAAGAGAGTGCAAAGTACATGTATGTAAAACAAACTTCGCAAACCAAAATGTTATGTTCATGAATACTGTTGGGCTGTCAAAGATCCTTTCTGTTTAAATGTTTTTATTTATTTTAAATGATAACAAGCGTCATGTTGATAGTCACTTTCCCTGTGTTTCAGTTTGCAGTGATTCTTGGGTTTCTCTTCCTGGTTGAGCTTGGGGGTTCTATCACTGGATATGTCTTCAGAGAAAAAGTAATATTTTCATTGTGCTTGGTGATGATTTATATAATATTGATTATACATAAATTATTAAGAAGAACTATTTTCATCTTCATTCAGTCAACTGAACCTTGGGAAAAACATAGGAGATTCCTTAGAATAGTGTCAAGGAATAGAGCTTATACGATGCACAAAATAGGTTTGCCATTTCGCCTCTTTTTTTTTATTACGCTTGAATAGCGTACTAACAAAGGTCATGATCATTTGAGGGAAGTTGAGCAACGATATCAGCCGTAATAACTTAGTAACGTAATGGAGGAACCCTTTTTCGCAAGACAGCGAATATATCACCAGTAATACCGTAATAACCGAACCTTTTTTTGCATGAAAGTGAAGCTATTAGCCGTAATAACTTAATACCGAACCCTTTCTTTTAAGACAGCAAAAATATCAGTGGTAATAACTTAGTGACGTAATGGATGAACCCTTTTTCGCAAGACAGCGAATATATCAGCCGTAATAACGTAATAACGTAATGGATGAACCCTTTTTCGCAAGACAGCGAATATATCAGCCGTAATAACGTAATAACGTAATGGATGAACCCTTTTTCGCAAGACAGCGAATATATCAGCGGTAATACTGTAATAAGGTAATGGCCGAACCTTTTTTCACAAGAAAGCGAAGGTATTAGCCGTAATAACGTAATGGCCGAACCCTTTTCCTCAAGAGAGCAAAGATATCAGCCGTAATGACGTAATAACGTAATGGATGAACCCTTTTTCGCAAGACAGCGAATATATCAGCCGTAATGCCGTAGTAAGGTAATGGCTAAACCTTTTTTGGCAAGAAAGCGAAGGTATCAGCCGTAATAACGTAATGGCCGAACCTTTTTTTGCAAGAAAGCGAAGGTATTAGCCGTAATAACATAATGGCCAAACCCTTTTCCTCAAGACAGTGAAGATATCAGCCATAATAAAGTAATAACGTGAGGGCCAACGCTTTTTCGCAAAACAGCGAAGATGTAACGTGATTGGTGAACGATTTTTCTCAAGGCAGCCGCGGTGACGTAAGAAACCATGCCGAAAGAGTCACCCCCCTTACAGATGTAGTAGCGGTTATTAGAGGTTTCTTAAACTTGTTTGTAGTCCGCATTTCGTTGCCGGTTCACTTAAGCTAATAATTTTATGTACATAACTTGCATTTTGCAAGATTTTACCACTATTTGATTAATTTTGGCCCGAGCAACAAGCGAGGGCAAATTTTGCAAGTCCTGGAAAATAAGACGACTGTACTTCTTCAGTTAGAGCAGCAAATAATGAAAATGCTCCTAAGACTGCCAACACTAATAGTAACGTTTCACGACATGTTATGTATCCTTCCTTGCTTCTATTACCTGTTACTGGGTTTAATATGGAGAAGGGAATGGTGCCTCAACTTCAGTAGGCAACTCTGGGAAATTGAGACACCTGTTGAGTGTTCCTGTTAGTTATTTGATCAAAACAGAGCCTTACACAAGACTTTAAGGGTGAACAAACTTGCAGGCTTTACGGGTTTGATTAATCACCTCTCCAAATTTTACATACATACATACCTACATACATTATTGATTTTTCCCAATGGGGCTTTTCATGTATGTTATTACTTAGGCGATGTTTAAGAACGTGTGTGGATTCCAAATATCCACTGATCTAAAATAAAAATTCCTTTTACCACTACTAGTTTTAAAAGGAGGAATGTGCAACATTTGGTCTTACGAATGCTAACCTCCTCGTGCTTGATAAAGTGGGAGGAGAGGGGTTTCGGGGCTCGTCCTGTCAAACATCTAAAAATCATGGCGTCGCGAAGATATGATTCTATCTGCCACTGGGAGCCAGTTGAGGCTTAACGTGGTCATGTTTACACGCACCACAAAAATGCAACAGGCGAAGTTCCGTATGCTTTGTAATTTCGTTATGTTGCCCTTGGAGGTACTCATACACTTCATCAATAAAACAATCTGCTAAAAACTTGAGAGTTAATAATCATAAGAAGAGGATTATGTTTTTTAAAAATATGTATGGTATGATTAACCTGACTGAGTCTATGCCTACAGGAAGATGCAGTTTTGGTTATGTGTTCGTCAAAGGTCAAATTAGAGTATAAAAATGCGCCTAAGTCTTTAACACTGTTGACAGGGAAGAGTTCCTTTCCTATGAAGTTTAGCGAAAAGTGGCCTAACTTTGAGCGCATTTGTCTGGTCCCAAACACCAGCATTGTTGTTTTACTTGGGTTCAATAAAAGATAATTATTAGAGCACCACTCGGCAATTTGAAGAAGGTCATTGTTTACATTGGTTACAGCTTTGACACTTCAACAGAACCGGACATGCATTAATTTAGGCGTCTTTTTGGAAACATTGCTGCTTCATTTTGCTCCCAGTAAGTTCTTACTTCCCGAGACACACACTTTGGACTATCCTGCAGTAGCAATTGCTGTAGATGACTCTGTTTATGTTGATGACTCGCTCAAAACCTTGGAAGCAAACTTTTTTATTTATTTTCCATGGCTGATTCAATTTACGAAAATGTTCTTCATACGAAATAGTCATCAACATGTCTTTGCAGCCTATATAGCATTCCGCACCCATGCCTCTTTGCTTCTAAGGGCTGCGTTTCCCCATTGAGGCCATGAAATTTCCTCATTTAGAGCATACGACTGCTGTCCTTTCCAGCCCTCTGTCTCCAGAAACCTTTTAAGTGATCACTGTGGGCAGAACAGTTTTATATACGGTCTCAGAAAACGTGTTGTATTGGTCTGCGTGCAAAGCGGAGAATTTCAACCATTTCTGTCCAACCGGATTGGTCAAATTTTATCTACCTTATTACATGCTTTCGCCAACAGCATGTAATAAGGTAGATTAAATCTGGGTTCAACTTCCCTGGATTGCATTTTACTCTCTGACACAATGATCATTTCCATATTCCCAGAAAAGGTTGACATTGCATTATACAGCTACTTTTTGGTCGGGGCTGGAAGCATTGTAGTTGATGGTTCAATGGCCTAAAATTGAAAAAAATAGCAACCTCGCCACAGACCACTCATTCATTTAGTCGATTTCATTTCACGCTTCTAAAGATTCCTCATTTTAAATGTTCTCGCTTTTCAAGATTCCCCGTTTTAAAGATTCCTGCTTTTAAAGATTCCCCGTTAAAAAGATTCCCGCTTTTAGAGTA